TATTACGTAATCAATATTTTAGCAATTTTTACCCCTCACCCCCTCCGTAATCAAACGTAATCAAGACCTACCCCCCCCCCCCCCCTCAATATTTTTTTCATGAAATTTTCAGAATCATCGTAGAATTGCCTGATGACCTTAAGTTTTGGAGTGGAATTTTGAGTTAGGCCTTTAAATTTGGCGGCCGAATTCTGAAATTTTCCGGGCATTTTTCAGAATTTGGCCGCCAAAAGAACTAAACTTGGGAACTAAACCTGCTCCCCCTTCCGCTGATTACGCAATAATATGTGAACGACCCCTAAATAAAAAATAACAAAAATGAAATATTAATCGATGCAATTTCGAATTGTACAGAAACTGGCTTACCGCATGTAGTCATGTACACTAAGTATAATGGCAAAGAAAAATTACACTTTTTATTGTCAAAGATTACAAATCTGAGTCAGGTGTGTTCATTACCAGGCTTGTCAGCTGCAAATAATTTGCTACATAGACCATAGCATAGGCAACAAAATCAAAATTTATATTATGGCACTAATGCCTATTCTGCTGTTAGGAGAGAAATCATTGAATCGATTTAATGATAGAATTTAAAAGGCAATTTGAGCAGGTGCTTGTTCACTGGGCCGCGCTCAGCCTGCCATTCCGCCGAATCTTAGCCTGGGGTCCCCAGGTAAGTGCTTGTAGATCAGCTAAAATCATAGTGATATTTAAATAAAATGGCATTATAAAGTTTGTGAATAGGTAGCTGGTAGAATACTATTCTTACAATAGCAATTAAATACAGGTGGTTCTGCCAACCACCTCCTTTATAGAAACTTAATAGTCAACCCCACGCAGTAGAAATAGAATGGCCTCTAATGAAGATTTTGAAATATCGACCATGACATCACGCTCTGAATAGGTTCCTAACGATTTCTTTTTTCTCGAAACTACGCACAGTAAAACTCCAATTGACTATTTTCTTTTCCCGGTGAATCGGGTTTTTAGTGTACGTAGGACGTTAAAAACGGTTTGTGTGGGGCATGATTAGATAGATTTTTGAGCTTTTAAGTTGTCAGAAAACAAAATGTAACAAATAGTAACATCAAACATGTACTTGATTATGGTATCTCGGGCTAAAAAAGTCTTAGAGACATTTGCAGCACAGTTAAACGTTCAACATGAACAAAATTTATGGAGCAGCACATACCACATAACTTCAATTTTGTATAACTTTGAAAATACTCAGTTTTAGAAGCTCCTTCCAGCTATCTTAGGCTAACTTCAGCTCCCTCTCTGGGGCTCTCTCCAGTACTGCTATGGCTAATCAACTCCAATCCATAAATTGTATCCGAATGTATTCATGTTGAACGTTTTACTGTGCTGTAAATGTCTCTCAGACTTTTTTAGCCCGAGAGACCTCCTCTCTGAGCAATGAAAGGGACCTCCTTGCTGAGCAATGAATGGGACCTCCTCTCTGAGCAATAAAAGGGACCTCCTCTCTGAGCAATGAAAGGGACCTCCTTGCTGAGCAATGAAAGGGACCTCCTCTCTGAGCAATGAAAGGGACCTCCTTGCTGAGCAATGAAAGGGACCTCCTCTCTTAGCAATGAAAGGGACCTCCTTGCTGAGCAATGAAAGGGACCTCCTCTCTGATTAATGAAAGGGACCTCCTTGCTGAGCAATGAAAGGGACCTCCTCTCTGAGCAATGAAATGGACCTCCTCGCTGAGCAATGAAAGGGACCTCCTTGCTGAGCAATGAAAGGGACCTCCTCGCTGAGCAATGAAAGGGACCTCCTTGCTGAGCAATGAAAGGGACCTCCTCTCTGAGCAATGAAAGGGACCTCCTCTCTGAGCAATGAAAGGGACCTCCTCTCTGAGCAATGAAAGGGACCTCCTCTCTGAGCAATGAAAGGGACCTCCTTGCTGAGCAATGAAAGGGACCTCCTCTCTGAGCAATGAAAGGGACCTCCTCTCTGAGCAATGAAAGGGACCTCCTCGCTGAGCAATGAAAGGGACCTCCTCGCTGAGCAATGAAAGGGACCTCCTCGCTGAGCAATGAAAGGGACCTCCTTGCTGAGCAATGAAAGGGACCTCCTCTCTGAGCAATGAAAGGGACCTCCTCTCTGAGCAATGAAGGGGACCTCCTCTCTGAGCAATGAAGGGGACCTCCTCTCTGAGCAATGAAAGGGACCTCCTTGCTGAGCAATGAAAGGGACCTCCTCTCTGAGCAATGAAAGGGACCTCCTCTCTGAGCAATGAAGGGGACCTCCTCTCTGAGCAATGAAGGGGACCTCCTCTCTGAGCAATGAAGGGGACCTCCTCGCTGAGCAATGAAAGGGACCTCCTCTCTGAGCAATGAAAGGGACCTCCTTGCTGAGCAATGAAAGGGACCTCCTCTCTGAGCAATGAAAGGGACCTCCTCGCTGAGCAATGAAAGGGACCTCCTTGCTGAGCAATGAAAGGGACCTCCTCTCTGAGCAATGAAAGGGACCTCCTCTCTGAGCAATGAAAGGGACCTCCTCTCTGAGCAATGAAGGGGACCTCCTCTCTGAGCAATGAAGGGGACCTCCTCTCTGAGCAATGAAAGGGACCTCCTTGCTGAGCAATGAAAGGGACCTCCTCTCTGAGCAATGAAAGGGACCTCCTCTCTGAGCAATGAAAGGGACCTCCTCTCTGAGCAATGAAGGGGACCTCCTCTCTGAGCAATGAAGGGGACCTCCTCGCTGAGCAATGAAAGGGACCTCCTTGCTGAGCAATGAAGGGGACCTCCTCGCTGAGCAATGAAAGGGACCTCCTTGCTGAGCAATGAAAGGGACCTCCTCTCTGAGCAATGAAAGGGACCTCCTCTCTGAGCAATGAAAGGGACCTCCTCTCTGAACAATGAAAGGGACCTCCTCTCTGAGCAATGAAAGGGACCTCCTCTCTGAGCAATGAAAGGGACCTCCTCTCTGAACAATGAAAGGGACCTCCTTGCTGAACAATGAAAGGGACCTCCTTGCTGCTAATTTCAGGGAGATGCCATGTTGGGCGAAGCGGGGCAGCCTAATCAAATATATCGCTCAATCCGTTTAGATTATAGTCACCAGGTACATATTTCCAATTTTCAGGCATAACTTAATCGCAGTGGTTGCAATGTATACGCAAATGGCCCATGTTAAACTCATTAGTTTAGCTCAGGCAGTATAGTGAACCCCAGGTTTTTAGTAGATTTTGCGATGAAAATGACTATTAACTGTTGTTTTATCACAATTTGACGTCAATATATTTGACATTGCTAGTTCGTTCCGATTTATCGATCATTATATACCGAGGATTACTCCATGGTGATAACGATGTGTGCAAATCGATCGATTTTTCAATTTCCTCAACGTTTTGATGGGTCAAATTTGGTGGGTTTTTGACAAACTCTGTAAATTCCCCCGAATGATTGCATATCAATATCATATACCTTACGAGAAATATTTATATTCGACATAATTCCGGTAACCTAAATGATTTGGGAACAAAAATATAGGATTTTTTACCGAAAACCACCGCATTTCGTACCCCAAATTAAATCATGGTATTTGGGGATTTTTTTCAAACGAAGCTCTGTATAAGAAATGTAACAGCAGACCACTCAGTGAGAGAGTTGCGTACTCACGTTGGAAAATGTTTGGTCATATACTTCGTAGTGCCAGCAACTCCCCAGCGTTATCTTCTTTGTCGTGTCGGGAGACACCAATGTAATTTATTAAAAACTCTTAAAAATGACTTATCAGATAGAGACATTAAACTTGTAAATACAGAAGACATTTATAATTTGATTTTTTTAGCCCAAGACAGACCTAATAGTGGAGAAAGTTATTTTAGTTTTAGTAGGTAACTTATGAGATTTTTAATTTGTTTATACAATTTATTTATTTGAATAAAGTTTTATAATAATAATATATGGGGATTTTTTTCATTTCTTTACTTTACAAAAATAAAACCCAATATTTGAGAAAATCAATAAAATAAAACATGAAATTTGAAAGTCAATTTCTTCTCGATCTTCTTAGGGTAGTCCCAGGTGTAGGCTTCTCTAACAAGCTGTTACGTCTTATAAGCAGTTTCTCAAGCGCCTTTGAAAGACCGCAGGTGTTTGTTATCCTCCACCACTCCCGAAATTTCACCGCCGTGGCAAATGAAATAGTAGCAGAGCTTGCTGAGTTTTTATGGAACGTGTCCGACCGTCAGGAATCATATTTATAACTTACTAAATTGATTATTGATAGTAAATCGACAAAGAAAATACGCGAAAAATAATTTGGGGAAAATAATGATGGTGACCTAAATTTTGGTAGTCCGAAAATATGGTGTTTTTTTTTTCGGAAAACCACCGACTTTCGTACCTTTTAAATATGTCTCGTAAGGTATTGCTATACTATACGTCATTATTATGTGGCGAATCAAATTATAAATCTGTCAAATATAGTTTAAACCCTATAGATGTGGATTCTAGGTGAGACACATTTTTTGACAGGTGACAGCAATAAACCAATCAGCTTCCACTATTGACCAATAAAACCCCAGAATCAATGTCACGTCTCAAGAAAATATGCCTCACCTAGAATTCACAACTATTAACCGAGAAATATTTACTGGTGCTTATAGTTATAATAATAAATCAAATCTAGATTCATCTGACTATTTTGATTTTCACGTGACGCACGAAAGATATCATAAAAATGCGAAATCAAGACATGGTTAAATAAAATGTTGGTCAACGAAACGGCCACAAGAAACCGATTGCTTCATCAGAATGTTTTGGGTGTATAGATCGAAAAAGAGATACTGATTCATCACTGAACATGCGAGTGTTACTGCAGCGTTAAATAAAGTACATTGCAAAATTATAGGATAGACAGACATTTATAAAATGTAACAGTTGGATCGGACGAACACGCGTACACATTAAAAGCAAGAAAAATAATTAAGAAAACACGGACAAACAAACGACAAAGCAGACGAACAAGTGACAAAGCATCCTAACCTCAGTTTCATCTTCAACCTCCGAGGCTGCAATCTTGAGTCTGGCCAGAATGTTATGGGGAGCGTAGTGGTCAGCCAGAGCTTGTTGCTGTTGTTGAAGATCGCTCAGCTCGTTTCGCTTTGACTCCAACTCTGAGTACTGAAAATATTGATTTGTAATTAATTAATCGATTTTTAATTATTTAATTTAAGTTAATAAGGTATATAAATTGAAACGGTAGTAGTTTGTATCACCAGTATGGAGAGGACACAGCTGAGCTGGAAACATTATTGGTGCTAGGATAAGCTTAATATAATAAGCTTATGCCTTATGAGCTTTATTTCGTGTATAAAAATATTTAAATCTTATAATTGGAAAGCAAGGTTAAGTTTTAAACGAGGAAAACACCAGGATAAAATATTAAGATCGAACTGTTAGAAATTAAATTACAGTTTAGCTAACATTAAAAATTGTGGTGTCAGCGACATGGATTGAACCAGATAAAACCAATCAAACCAAACAAAATTCAATCAAACAAGATGAAAATCAGCCAAATTCTATCAAATAGACATATCTAACCGATTTAAAATTCAACTTAATTTTATTAGCTATTAATCTATAGTCATCACAAAATGTTAATTCTTCTATAATGCTAATGTAATAGATATCAAGACGTATATTCTACAAAAACACACAAGAACGACCAAACATTTTCCGGCACAACGCAATTCCGGCTGTATATTGTTCCGGTCTGTCTATTTCCTAAGAAGATAACGGAAACACCAGAGCCGGAAGAAGTATAGATGATAAGGTAGCTCAACTTTTAATGGGAGTTTCATCTCCAGTCAGGGACAAAAGGAAATCGCGGCATGTACGGAATCGCGATTTTTCCCATTATTTGCGACAAATATTATGTATAGTTTAATGTATAGTCTGTTAAAATTCGCGGTATCGCGATTTTTGGCCAAAATAATCGCGAAATCCTTTTGTCCCTGTCTCCAGTGCATGGACATGTTTTTGCAGGAACTTGATACTTGTACTATGGTTTAGTATGAAAGCTATCTAATTTAACGTGATGATATCAAACATATTTGACCTTTGGGTGGCCTTAAAGTCAAAGCAAAGCGAAATCGGGAAAATTCAACAAAACCTTCGTTATCCATCAAAGCGCACACTTACATTGCACATTCTAATCAAACATAGTTGTAATCGTCAATTTGGAGACAAGATTAAGTAGGTTCAGGCATGAACTTGCTCAAGGCATAAGTTCTAGCCATCCTAAATCAGTTGCAGGCATGAACTTGCTCAATACAAGGCGTAAATTCTAGCCATCCTAAATCAGTTGCAGGCATGAACTTGCTCAAGGCATAAGTTCTAGCCATCCTAAATCAGTTAGGTTCAAGCATGAACTTGCTCAAGGCATACGTACTAGCCATCCTAAATCAGTTAGGTGTAGGCATGAACTTGCTCAAGGCATAAGTTCTAGCCATCCTAAATCAGTTAGGTGCAGGCAAGAACTTCCTCAAGGCATAAGTTCTAGCCATCCTAAATCAGTTAGGTTCAAGCATGAACTTGCTCAAGGCATAAGTTCTAGCCATCCTAAATCAGTTAGGTGCAGGCATGAACTTCCTCAAGGCATAAGTTCTAGCCATCCTAAATCAGTTAGGTGCAGGCATGAACTTGCTCAAGGCATAAGTTCTAGCCATCCTAAATCAGTTAGGTGCAGGCATGAACTTGCTCAAGGCATAAGTTCTAGCCATCCTAAATCAGTTGCCTTGCAGCAGTATTTGGCACAGCTTATCACACAGAACAGGATAAATTCAATAATGGTAAACACGCTGGCCCCCAGGAACAGTCCAAGTACCCCTCCTACGTCACCGAAAAGGTTGCCAAGATCGTAAGTAATGACTTCATTGACCTGAGTTTTTTGCATGCTGGTGAAAAGGATCTCAACAACCATAAGATTCTTGAAGATGTCGTCAGGGGTGGAATAGGTCACGTTATAGTCAGGTTGTGAAAACCCTTGCAAAAAACCACCAACGTTTTTATGAACACTATCGACCCAGTTGTCTGAAATGGTGGCACTGCTGATGGAGGCTTCGTAGTTCTTCTCCTCGCAAGCAGTGTCACACACGCATTCATTTTCTTCACCGCCTTTCTTTTTATCTTCTGTATTGGTGTAGTTTCCATACCACTCAAGGTAGGTAGACAGCCCACAACTGGCCCACTTTTCAAAAGAACAAGCCTTGTACTTACCCTCGTTGTTAGGAGGTAAGACTTGGACACAGCCGCACCTTTCGTGGAGTGTCCTATCTTTACATTCTTGAAGACATGCTCCCTCATTGTATACACCGTATGTGGTATTTACAAGAGACGCGTTGCAGCTTTCGGCCTTATGTTTATTTCTCAGTGTGACCCTGAGTCCCAGATCAACTTTGTAATAAGTCCCTGGACTCATCAAGAAGCCAGAAAATATGGTTGAACCGTATGTTTCGTGGTCATGAAATACTACGTTAAATCCATGGGTTACACTATCAGATGACCGTTTGGAGTAGTCTTGGATGTCAGCCCAAAACATAAGGGTCAGAGCACCATAATCGCCCATCTTACCTCTTAACGTGCCTTGAGGGTTAACTCTCCAGCATTTCCCAGAGCTTGAAGTCGGCATGGTAACGTAATGTGCCACACCATCAATTGGAACACCATATTCATCCTTCTCCATAAACGATTCCATTTGACCACAGTGCTGGTTTTTTTGCATACATTTTAACAGTCTGTTTGGTGAAGGGCCACCATTTTGGAACAAACTTTCGTAAGTTTCGTTCCTGATAGCGAACATCTCGTCATTCGGATCATTCAACCTGTTGGCCAGTTCTTTGGCCTGTTCTGCGTTGTATTGGTCGATAATGTTGAAGTAATCCTTGTACAGTCTGTTTTCTTCATTTTCAAGGTATGATTTTCTGACTTTATTCATGGAGCAAACAGTAATGGTGGGAAATTTGATGCCTTTCTTTTCACTTTCGTTATCATCCACAACGACCTCGAACTTTGTACCGGTCGGTTTATTAACGAACATGAGTATCTTGGTACAGATGATGTAGCAAGCGTAGATCGAGAAGGCAATCCACAGAAGGAGAAAGAAGACTTTTAGGAGTTTCCGAGGGCTTTCGAATATAAATTTTATTCCATGGGCACTAGTATCCGCTGAAAACTCGCGAATATCACTCATGAAGGAAGTCTTTTTTTGAAGATTGTCCCAAACTGTTTCTTTACGCTGAAGCTGCCTAGGACCCGGTCTTGGAGGAGCTCCATTTTTATTCATCACTAGGTAGCATTAACTCATTATCACTCATTACAATAAATTGTATACAGTAAATTTGTATATTGTAAAAGATATTTTCTTTGCAAATAAATATCGGCGGTAAAAAAATGCGGCGAAAAATAATAGGGTCAAGGCAAGAGCCCGTGGAGAGAACATGAAAGTTATTTTATACGACACGATAATAATATTAGTAATGTGGATAATCCAAAACCGTAGACGTTGTATTATTGATCCACAAGCAGCCCTTAATTAAGTGGTCAACAATTTTATATTCATATTATAGTCTAGAATATAATTTATTTAATTAATTAAATGAATAAAAAGTGATGATCTCGAAACCTCACAGCAGTTTGTCAGCCCCTCAAACATAATAATCGAACAGTTTATGATTGTGAATGTACTATGTAATAACAGTCACATTGCATTTTTAGCACACAGGAATATAACAAATTAAATTTTAAAAACGAGTTTAACATAACAGCAATACCGCAGTTCAGCCGCAGTACTGTGACAGGAATATCGCAGGAATATCGCAGGACTGTGGCAGTTCAGCCGCAGTACTGTGACAGGAATATCGCAGGACTGTGGCAGTACTGTGGCAGGAATATCGCAAGATCGCAGGACTGTGGCAGTACTGTCGCAGGACTGTGGCAGGAATATCGCAAGATCGCAGGACTGTGGCAGTACTGTGGCAGGACTGTGGCAGGAATATCGCAAGATCGCAGTACTGTCGCAGGACTGTGGCAGTACTGTCGCAGGACTGTGGCAGGACTGTCGCAGTGCTGTCGCAGGACTGTGGCAGGAATATCGCAAGATCGCAGGACTGTGGCAGTACTGTCGCAGGACTGTGGCAGGACTGTCGCAGTGCTGTCGCAGGACTGTGGCAGGAATATCGCAGGACTGTGGCAGTACTGTCGCAGGACTGTGGCAGGACTGTGGCAGGACTGTGGCAGGACTGTGGCAGTTCTGTTGTCGACGAAATATTGTACGCCCAAGTTACGTCTAGACACTGTACTATAGAAATTTAATTTTCCGCATTCGAACTTACGACAAGTATTGTAAAATAGTTAGGATGAATTATGAAAAAGTTGGCTATTTTGTCTTAAAAACCCGGATCCATTGTGATACTTCGACACGGACCAAAATTTTGACAATCAATCTGGGGGAGTTTCAAATTGGATTATGAATGAACTCATTAAAGTTAAACCCCGCTGCTAATACTAGCATTAAAATACCGATCTCCCTCTTCTTTAATCAAGGAAGTCGACGGAATTATAGTTCATTGTCGTGCAGGTACGGTAGGTGATTGGTATACAATGGATAGTCATTATATCACCTATTGAAGCCACTTGATTATACCAAAGTGAACATTTTCCAGGAGACACGTACTGCGTTATATACTGTCTCCTGCCAAGGTATGATTAAATTTAAACTATTTTAATAAAAGAGGTGTAGCTGAATTTGGAAAGGAAATAATGTGGTGATATTTTAACAGATCGTCCAATGAAGGAGGCGACAGAGAGTCACACACCGTAAGAGACCGGAACTTTCAGTAACAGTGGGACCTATAAGTCTGGCCACAGTAGACTTTTTGAGCCTTCTGTTAATTTCTAACAAAAGAATAAACCCGTCATATCTCCGCAAGCAATCCTCGCCTCCTAAATAGATCCGTGCTGGAGAGAATGCCTTGAAGAAAGGGAAATTCTAACTAACTACGAAGTCTACTGCTGCCTTTTGAAAGATGCGAAGTTTAAGATATCATGTGAAGTCTTCAAGGAATGATCCTGCCAAAGACCCAATTTCGTACAAAGGTAGTTTACCCATGAACCCCACCGGATCCTTGTAAACTTAGACGACTCTCAGTCTTTTCAAATCATTACTGGCAAACTAAGGCATTAAAGAAGCAGAATTTCGTACTGCACAACAGTTCTTCACAACGAAAGGGTTTTAATTTAAAAAACAAAGATCTGGTTTCAGTGAAATGCAAACTTATTAGTATCGAAGATTATATTTGAAGATTGAAAAAAACAAGAAACCTCCCCTTTGGGAAATGAAAATTACAACAGGCAAGTCCGCCCGTCCACACTTCAATCGACAAAGGAAAAGTATGCGTCAAACATATGATGAGGACTGAGGAGTTTCTGAATTAATGACATATCATTTGATCATGAGGATTTCTTTTGAATTCTGTTATAGCGGATGTTTCAACCATTATTATATCCAAGACTTCGTGACTGTAGTCTTGAAGGAGTTAAAACTGAAGGCAGGTCTTTTAGACTAATGGCTATTGACTCTGGTATTTTATCTGAGGCACTGACACAATGATCTTTCAATGATAACGGTTCAATGTAGTAATTAATACAATACCACTTTAATTGATCCTAATTAATAATCAAGAGTCATGTCGCCAGTAAATAAGTATTTGAATGCTCTTTTTCTCCGAAATAAAGGAATAGAGCATTTTAATGCGATTATAGTCTAGTATAGTGTAGTTATGGGCTGAGAAAATGTTCTCTTATTTGGCGAAACTTATCTTTTTAAGAAAGCATTCAATGATAGTGCACAGCATTCCAAACAGGCCACCAATCTGTCACCAGATTATTGACAGGCGTTTATTGTTCCAATCCTAGCATATTTGAGCCGATAGGACAGTTGTAGTGCAGATGAGCACAGACAGCACCCGATTAAATTGAAAAGTTCGTCCTGGTAACTGGTAACTGGTAACTGGTAACTGGCAACTGGTAACTGGTACCTGTTCACTGGTAATCGGTAACTGGTAACTGGTAACTGGTAACTGGTAACTGGTAACTGGTAAGTCATGACGGTACGACCCCTAATAAGCATAGAATGAGGGACCGTAGACTCCGGGCGTTTCAGTCTGCACAATCCTCGTGAGAAATATAAACAGAAACTGGACTGCTTCTATGAGTTGATAATTACAATCTGGCAAGGAGAATTCAAACCACAGGAAACATTTTTAATAAAGCAGAACCCTCATCCCAATAATACTACAGTCGAGGATTAATCTAAGTTATTAGTGCTTATGTAATACGCTACGTGACCAACGGCATGGTTCTGTACAACAGACTCAACTTGGGAAAGTAGCAGTACCAACATTTTTATACAAAACTAAATTCCGGAGTGTAGCACAGCAACTAGTAGTCAGACTACCTATCACTCATGTTCTAAATACAACAAGCGAGTATAACTTTTGTGCCAAACATTTGGGTCCAGGTACGGAAACGACCAACGCGAACGCCACTGTTGACTGTACCATAATTATTTATTATGCAGCCATAATGCTGCAAAGTTATGCCCGATGCCTCCATACGGCCAATGGCCGTGTAATTCAGTGGTTATCTTGGAATTTAAAAGTTTGTAAATATGAATAATAGGCAAGCTTCCATAAACGATATTTTATGATCGGCGCCGATAATCGCTTATTGAGCGCTTTTTCGGCGCTTTTTTGAAAAAAAACCGTTTACAATCGCTTTTTTTACGATTATAAACGGTTCAAAAAAAATCGCTTATAATCGACTATAATTGAGGTCATAATTCAAAAAAGCGCTTTTTTGAATTTAAAAGCGCTTATAAGCGCTTTTAAGCGCTTACTAGCGTCGCTGAGCGATTTGAAAGCGGTTTTCCAGTAGGATTGGCGCCAAAAACGGGTGGATAAGCGGTTGGCCGGATAAGCGATTCGTAGGCGCTTTTTTGAACCATTTATAAGCGATTATAAGCGCTTATAATTGGGGTGCAATTTAGCTGTTTGTAAAGCGCAAATAAAGCGCTTATAAGCGCTTTTAAAATTGAGTCAGGAAAACGCTATATTACATCTTATAACCGCTTATAATCGATTATAATCGCTTTTTTAGAAATCGCTTATAACGGCTAATTCATCGCTATTTCACCGCTTTTACCGCTTTTCCTATCATCCATGGCCAGGTGAGCAGGAATTAAAAAGCGCTTATAAGCGCTTTTTCGATGCTGCCCCTAACCTGGTCGGAACGGGGTAGTGCCCGGAATTTAAAAGCGCTTATAAGCGCTTTTTCAATGCTGCCCCTAACCTGGTCGGAACGGGGGAGGGCACGGAATTTAAAAGCGCTTATAAGCGCTTTTTCAATGCTGCCACTAACCTGGTCGGAACTGGAGAGTGCCCGGAATTAAAAAGCGCTTATAAGCGATTTCTCAATTCCCCTTAATCTGGTCGGAACTGGAGAGTGCCTGGAATTAATAAGCGCTTATAAGCGATTTCTCAATTCCCCTTTACCTGGTCGGAACTGGAAATCAAAGTGCCCGCTTATAAGTGCTCTTCTGTGCAACCTGGGGTGCACCGGCAGAGTCAGGATTTAAAAGCGCTTATAGGCGCTTATGATCGCTTTTCTACCGCTTTTCCCATCACCCATGGCCTGGTTGGCAAGAATTATAAAGCGCTTATAAACGCTTTTTCAATGCTGCCCCTAACCTGGTCGGAACAGGGGAGTGCCTGGAATTAATAAGCGCTTATAAGCGATTTCTGAATTCCCCTTAACCTGGTCGGAACTGGAAATCAGAGTGCCCGCTTATAAGTGCATTTCTGTGCAACCTGGGGTGCACCGGCAGAGTCAGGATTTAAAAGCGCTTATAGGCGCTTATGATCGCTTTTCTACCGCTTTCCTATCGCCCATGGCCTGGTTGGCAGGAATTAGAAAGCGCTTATAAGCGCTTTTTGAATGCTGCCACTAACCTGGTCGGAACGGGGGAGTGCCCGGAATTAAAAAGCGCTTATAAGCACTTTTTCAATGCTGCCACTAACCTGGTCGGAACGGGGGAGTGCCCGGAATTAAAAAGCGCTTATAAGCGATTTCTCAATTCCCCTTGGCCTTAATCTGGTCGGAACTGGAGAGTGCCTGGAATTAATAAGCGCTTAT